GGGGAATCAACTCTTGGAAAGGGTAGAAAACTGCAGGACGAGGGAAAATGGTTTTAAGTTGAGGGAGGGGAGATTTACGTTGGACACTGGGGGAAATTCTTTAAAGAGAGAGTGGTCAGGTGCTGGAACAGCTGCCCAGAGAGACTGTGGATGCCCCATCCTTCCCTGGAGGTGTTCAAGGCCAGATTGGATGGGAACCTGGGCAGCCTGGTCTAGTGTGAAATGTGGAGGTTGGTGGGCCTGCAGGTGGCAGGGGGGTTGAAGATTCATGATCCTTGAGGTCCCTTCCAACCCTGGCCATTCTGTGATTCTGCTATTCTGTGTCTTCTCCCTGATGCCAATTGGAAGTGATATCCTTTAGTCTTCAGTATAACAAAGACATTCTGTGACTGTGCTTGAAGACAGTCTCCCTTGAGCATTTTAGTTGTGCTTGTTTAGTGCTCGTAAAACCAACTGTGCAAGTGCTGCTCTCCTCCCCATTGTGAGGGGATTGCTGGCAGGATCTAAGCAGTTCCCACAGCCACATCCAGCAAGGAGCTGCCGTGGCAGATGGGCGGGTGGAGCAGCTGTCTTCCAACCTGTCCACTGCGACAATTAGCATTCTGTAAGCTACTCTTCCCCAATTTGCAGAACAAGTATCAAAAGTTGATACTCTTTTGTGAAAGAGTAAATGCGGGTTGAAAAAAGAGGCGATATGACATTCCTGACTGCAGATAAACAACAGCACAGATGCTGGTCACCGCTGCAGTAAAAGCTGGACTTGTTAATGAAGCAGCTTATCCATCTGTGTTGGGATTTTGTACAGCTGACCTCACCTGCCTCTCATTCCTTGCCATCGCCCCCTTTTTCTTCTAAGGTGAAAAAGACAGCCTTATTCTTTGTGAGTCCGTAATTGTGATCGTTTATTGATTGAGTACAACCAGATAAGACATGGAGTACCAAGTTGGGTGGCACTCGCAGCGCTGCCCTGTAACACCACACACTGCAGCTGCTGCCTTCTGATGTTCTTCCTCTCAGTCCTTCAGATGCAGATTCTGCATCACCACCACAGGGCTGTTCATTGTAGAGGACTGGAAAAAAACAAAGCAAGTGTAGAAATAGGACAGAAACAATCTAGGGAGACCTCACTAAGGAAGTCTGATCAGTAAACTTCCACAACAGCCCCATGCAGAACAGCAGGTGACTGCCATTCAGATCACTGACATTACTTCCCATAACACACAGCTTAGCTGCTGTCCCCTCCCTTCCCTACCAGAGCTGCATGCCCTTCCTTTTCCCTACCTGAGCTGCTTGCCCCTCGCCTCCTTTTTCTTGGTGCTCTTGCCTTTTCCTGCTACTCACTCCCAATCTCAACACTTGCCTGCTCTGCCTGCTGCTCTGACAAGTGCCTCTTAACTCTGCTCGCAGCTTCTCTCCTTCTGCATGCCCTTCTCTATTCCCTTCTCGTGCCCTTCAGGCTTCTGCTCCCCTTGCTGAGCCAGCCCATGCCCAGTAGCTCCCCTTCAACCTCCTCCGCCCTTTGCCTTTCTCCACACAGATGCTTGCTTCTGGCCAGCACTCCTGCCCGCTGCCTAGCCCACAGCCCGCATCTCTTGGGGAGACAGCAAGGTGGCCTGGAGCTACCCACACCTCCTGCCGGGCACGGCTTCTCAGCTTTGCTTCAAGCCCACAAAAAAACCCCAAGGAGCTCCTCTTACCTTTGGGCTCAGCTTCTTCTCCTGCCGCGCAGCTCCTGTGCCAGGAGCTCTGCTCTTCCCACACTCCTACATTCCTGAAAGGTTGCTTTCCTTTGCTCTGCTGCAGTTAGCTTTCCTACTTGCTTTCTCTTGATATACATGCATTGCTTTTTACTTTTTTTCCTCTTCTGTGCCTCTTTTTTTCTCTGTTTTCAGCACTTCAATTTTTTTTTTTTCTTTTTCCATCTTTTTTTCTTACTTTTCATTCTCATTTTTCCTTTTGTTTTCTTTTTTTTCCCCGCCCCCTGGAGATTCTCCCCCTTTGTCCCCCTCAGCCTGCCTCTATCTGTGCCTCCATCTGGGTCTTCTGTCCCCACATTCCCATCCAGTGCCCAGTGTAG